CATGGATAGCAAAATCCATGGATGCTCAAGTCCCATTATATGCAATGGGATAGTAAATCGATGTCCCTCATATAAAATGGCAAAATCAGGGTTTGCCTTTTGAAATTTATGTATTTTTTTAAAAATATTTTCAATGATGCTTGAATCCATGGGTGAAAAATCCCTGGATATGGAGGACTGACTGTACAGGAAGGTACTGGAAAAATTAAGAGAGCCAGTGTGGCATAGTGGTTTGAGTGTTGGGCTACGACTCTGGAGATCTGGGTTCGAGTCCCCTCTCAGCCATGCAAACCCACTGGGTGACCCTGGCCAAGTGACACACTCTCAGCCCCAGAAAACCCTGCAATAGGTTTGCCTTGAGGTTGCCATAAGTCAGAAATGACTTGAAGGCCACCACAACAATTGGAAATATTATGACCTAGATCTTGCAATGGGGTGGCATAGCATAAATCTCTACATGCCGAGTTACAGGTCAAAGTTGGAGGGAACTTATTTTCTGCTGCTGCAGAGACAGAAAACGAACTAGTGGACTCAAACTGCAAGGAAAGAAATTCCACCTACATTAGGAAGAACTTCTTTAATGTAAGAGGCTGCATCCCCACTGTAGAATTAATGCAGTTTGACACCGCTTTGACTGCCGTGGCTCAAAGCTATGGAATTCTGGAACTTGTAGTTTGACGAGATATTTAGCCTTCTCTGTCAGAGCGTTGTGGTGCCACAACTACAAATCCCAGGATTCCAACACATTGAGCCAGAACAATTAAAGTGGTGTCAAACTGCATTAATTTTGCAATGCAGATGCAGCCGAGAGCCAGCATTGTCTAATAGAGTAAGCGCTGGATAATGACTGGAGGCGAGGATTCAAATCCCGGCTCGGCCATGTAAACCCACTGGGTGACCTGTGGCAAGTCACAATCTCTCAGCCTCAGAGGATGGCAATGGCAAACCTCCTCTGAACAAATCTTGCCAAGAAAACAACTTAGGATTGCCATAAGTCAGAAACGACTTGAAGGTACACAACAACAACAGATGCAGCCAGAGTTGCTTAAGAGTGGGATGGATTGTCTGGGGGCAGAATCACCTTTACTGGAGGTCTTTAAACAGGGCTGGGCATCTTTCAGGAGTGCATGGCAAAGGGTTGGACATTGGTCCCTTGGACTGTGTGATTCTAATTC